GCTGCAGCACTTCACGGGGGGGAAGGCTCTGGGCCAGCTTCCTTGCTGCAGCCCGACCCGCTGCCTGGCCTGCCCCGCCGACCCCAGGACACGAACCTTGACGGTGTACTTGTAGCACTGCTCTGCCTCCAGCTGCCGTCCCCCCTGCAGAAACGACAGGAGAGCAGCCCGTGAGGAGACGGCCCGGGGGGAAATAACGCGGCGGGAGAACGCTGAGCGCGAAGGACGCATGTCCCAGGGGAATACGTGCATCAGGCCAGGCCAAGCAGCGAGGAAGGGCGCTGCTGCTGCTGTCCAAGCACAGTCACCAAACTGTTTTTACTGCTGGGTTCTACACCACATCCTTCAGGCTCGTGAGCTGATGGCGATGAAACCTCCCCGCGCTGTTAGGTGGGAGTAGCTGGCTGGCTGGGCACTCACTTGCAGGCAGATGAGGGCAAGGTATCCCCACACCTCGGCGTTGGTGTTACTTAGGGTGTTGGCTTCGGAGAGAGCATCCTCTGCCTCCACGATCTCTTCCAGCTTGAGAGAGAGAAGGAGAGGCGTGGACGAAAGGCAAACAGCAGGCAGAAAGGGCTCTGGAGCCGAATGGGCATCTGCTCTAGCAGCCCGAGATCAGTGCAACAAAAGCATCTAGCAGGTTTTTCCTGACCAGGGTGTAAGGCAGAGACATCCCAGCCCTCCAGTCTGGAGGATAAGGCTCTCCCCGCTGACCCCCAGCCCCTGTGGGAGCACGCACTGTATTTACAAATCAGCACAAATGCCTTCACCTCCACCTGCAGAAACTAAGCGGTCCACCTCTATGGGGAAACGTGACTCTAGTCCTGCTCCCTACTCCCGCTGCGCGACAGCTCCTGGAGGCCGGGGTAGCTGGTGCTGGTGGGCTGCAGCAAGCTCCCAGCTGCCATTCGTCTCCCTGGCTCGAGTCCACAGCCTCCCCGAAGGTGTGTGTTTGGCCAAGGGGGAAACAGAAGTTCGAGTTCCTTCCTCGTTTGCTTCCCTCAGCCAAACTCACTTGGAGGAACCTCGCAAGGTGTACCTCCAGGAGATACCACGCTGCTGGTGGCTGTGGCTGGGTGTCCTTGGCAGCCCTTCACAGGCACTGGATTCCTTTGGACAGGGAAAGCACGGAGATTCCTCTCTGCTGACATTCTGCTCAATTCCTTCATGGTGACACGCAGGTCGTGCAGGCAGGCACTCGGAGCAAAGCCCAGGCCCAGATTACATGCTTGCCATGGCATCCTGGGGAAGGAGGTGCTGGCAGTGGGATGAGGGGGGAAGGATCGCTGCTCCTAGCGTGGCTGCCGAGGGTGACTGTTCTCTGACATCGCCTGCATCAGCAGGCCGGGGTGCCATGCTGGGACTGCGATGGCAGCTCAGCCGGGAGCATTGGTTTCACGGGCAGCGAAGCTTTTCTTTGTTAAAGGGGATCATGCAAAAGCAAACCCTGCATCCCGTGCCACAGAGCCAATTCAAGCGCAGATGACTTGAAGGTAATCGCACTTACCCTGTAGCAGGCGATTCCCACTCCCAGCCAGGTGAGACAGGACGCAGAGTTCCTGCAGGCGAGCAGGTAGGTCTGCTTCGCCCGGCCGTACTGCCAGGAGAGAGGAGATCGTGTTTCCCTCTGCATCAAATGCATCGCTCCGCAGACAGCCCCAGCCCCCCTCCTCAGCAACTTGCCAAACACCCCGTCTCCGGTGGGGCTGAGACACTCGCCGTCCCAGCTGCTGCTGGGGGGCTGAGAGTCTGCCCACTGCCACCGCCGCCGGGGCTCTGTGCTGGCAGGTACTAACGTAGTAATGCACAAGTCCCCCTCATTGCTAGGATGATGAGAACAGCTCAGCAGCACCCTGAGCCCCTGCGACTGAGCCTGGCACAAAGGAGCAGGGCAGGTTTGTACTCCAAGGAGTTGAGTGCTCCAAGGTTTTGCCGTGTTGTGAGATCTTGGCTATAGCTACAAATAATGGCGTCTTGTACCCGGGATCTGGAATGTACTACTTTGTGCAAAATCCCCTTCCTCCACTCCCGCTGGCTCCTCACCTCTTTCTCTTCCAGGTAGATGGAGCCCAGGCGCAGGTAGACAAAGTGCATATCCACAGCATCCTCCACAAAACTGATGGTTCGCTCGTAGCACTCCTTTGCCTTGCCAAAGTCCCTCTTCAGGTAGCACAGGTGCCCCTTCTGAGCCCAGACATTTGGATTCTGTGGACAGAAAACCAGGAGTGAGACGTGGCTGGGAGACAGGAGGGCGAGAGACCCAGGAGAGGGCCAGGGACCCCTATAAACTGCAAAAAGGAAGAGCTGGACCGTGTTTGATTGTAACGGTACAGATTTTTATGTACAGAGTTAAAATCAAGTCAGTGGGCTGCCTGCATAACACCAGCACTGGGACCCCCCTCCAGCCTTTCCTCACGCAGTGTCCTGGACTGTGCAGGGCTCCCCGGGTATCACGAGTATGCAGAGAGCATTTAGAGATGCCAGCTCCACAGCCCTCTCTGCCTGCCATTCAACCTGACACCCCAAAGCCACCTTCCCTCTCTGCTGAACAGCAACCTTGTTTCTCATGAAACAGAACCTGGCTCGCCAATGGAGGGAAAGCGGATCAGCCTATACGTGTTCAAAGGGGAAAGAGGATCAGCATATACGTGTTCAAAGGGAAAAGAGACGCAGACGCTGCAGAGAGAGGAGTCCTTGCACAGAGATGCAGCCTGTCTGTGCAGGAGATGACAGAAGGCGAGTAATAAGCAGGGTAATGAGGAGGGCAGTGCTGCAGCCGCAGCCTGATGTGGTTCATCAGCTATGATTGTCCTCCCCTGCAGAAATTGGTGCAGACTGGAATTAGAATTGCTTAAATGGAAATGAACGCATGGGCTCTAGGTTCCCACACAGCAACAACCCAGGCAGAGCCTGCTGTGGCATTTGGCCAGTGCCCCGCTTCGGGGCACCGTGCTGCACCCTACAATGCACAGAGAATTACCGTGTAGTCAATCCTAATGGCCTCACAGAGACATTCTTCACATTTGGAGAGCTCTTCCTTCAGCAAGTACGTGTGGGCCAGTGCCAGGTTGTATGCACAGGAGGGACCTCCCTGAAGGCTCAGCAGCTCGTGGGCAAGCGCCATGCGAACAAACTTTGGAGGAACGACACACGGTTGCGGTTAGGAGAGCGGGCAAACCACGGGCACCCCCAGAAGGACATGGCAGGAGGACTGACTCACACCTATTTGACTTCCATGAACAGAAAACAGGCAGGAGATTTTTTTTCTTCCCCTCCTTTGAATATTTACCTCGATTGCTTCTAGTTCTGTTTTGCTTTAAGCAACTCTTTCTCCCATGCAAAATTAGGGCAGGCAGTGTAATGTGGCAGTCAGAGAGATCCCACAGAGATGACACTGTGGGACAGGGACATTCCACAAGTGACACAAAAATTACTGTGACACACACAAGCGTCTGAAACAAGAAAGGAGTACTGGCATTTTGGAAGCACCACAATAATGGATCTCATCTCCGAATGTATGGAGAAAGCACCTCTGCACTGTTTCTGACTCGGCTGTTCGCTCCGCAGCAGGTAGTGCAGAGCTGAGGCAGCCTGAGGACCTCACCTGCCTGAGATGACAGTGTCCCCAAGGAGCATTTTGGTCTCACTACTCTGTCTGGCCACTGTTTTGCATTTCTGGGCAGTGGCGGTTTTGCTCCCGCTGGCGCGTGGTATCTGGGGTAGTCACAGCTTGTTCTTTAACCCCAAGGAGGGGGCTTGCTGGAGCTTGCCACCAGCTCTTTGGTAATAAGCTAGCGAAGGAGACCAAACCTCCCTTCCTCCTCCTCCACTCCACGATGAACTGACCTGGATGGCATTGACTTTCATGAGGAATTCCACTGCCTTCATGAAGATTGTGCAGGGAGGTTGGCTAAGTCCTGAAACGGGGGATGGTGCTGCAAGAAAACGTATCTCCATCAGTCCTAAACTGGGCTTTTTATTTCTGAGGCAAGAGTGGGGGCTGAGACCGTGGTGGGGACAAAGGAATTCCACCAACACAGTGTAAAATCCGGGAGGTGGCAGGGGAGGCTGAAGCAGAGATTATCTCAGCATTTCATTCTGAAGAGCTTACGTTTTTTGCAAGAGACGTGAAAAGAAACAATGCACTTGACCCACTAATTTTCCAGTCCAAACTCAGAGGAAGAAAAGGTAGGAACTGATGATTGAAGCTTGTCAGAGTTAACTGCAGTGAGGCCCCTGCCTCCCCAAACCAACGCAGCGGGGCCTGAAGCACCCAGCACTGCCATCTCTTTGTCACCCACTGGAGAGTGGAACTGTAGAGGAGGCAGATCACACAACGCACAACCAGAAGAGATCCGTAGGGACAGTTTAAGAGCTGGCATCTCAGGAGGGACACATCCAAGCAGCTGACGAAGGCCACTGGGTGCATTCACAGCTGCATTCACCCGCTGGCTGTCCATCCTGAGATGTGCTGCTCTGAAAATCGGGATGAACCTGCTTTGCCTGGAGATTGGCTGGCTAGGGAGAAAGAACAAGTCTTGATGTCTTGCCTTGGCATCAGGGTGGCCGTGGCTCAGCGCTCCCTGGGTGCTCCCCCCCACCCCCCAACCGATCACATGAGGCCGTCTCCCAGTACTGAACTGCCCCACACCACATCCCCATCCCCTAACCTTTCGGGGTTGCCTCCGGTGCAGTAGCCTCTTCCTCAGGTGCCGCGTAGGCCAGGGCAGGCCCCACCGCCTCTGGCAGTTTGTCAGCTGAGCCGTCTGGAACCCCCTCTGGAATGAAACCCCCAAAAACCATTAGCTGCAAGCAAAGAGTTTGCCATAAACTGCCCAGTTTGGAGCATGAGTCTGTAGAAATTGGGAAAAGAGAAAACAGACCAGATCTATCAGATTTTCAAAACTGGGAAGAATTTTTTTGCAGGAGGCAATATCTGGGTTTGGGGTTTTGAGTACAAGATTACCGTGTGAAGCTAGAAACGGGCATAAATGAGGCAATATGCCTTCCCTCATAATCAGAAGGGGTAAAAAAAGGCATATGACATGAGGTCTGCCTGCCTGAGGCACTTTGCATGGAGTGGTGATAACATGAAAAATAAAGCCAGCCAACATTTCCTGCAGCCTGGCCAAATATTTGGGACTCGGGACACAAAGTCTTGGCTGAGGGTGAGGCCGCACACAGTGAGGCTCCAAAGGAAGCCTTCAGTTCAGGGTCACCACCAAGCAGCTGTCCTGCCCTTTGCATTGGTGAGGTAGTGCTTTCCAGACTGTGTTGGGAAGTCACAGCAACAGCTTTCATGAAAGCTAAACCTGGATGACCCTGATGCATGACTGTCACAGGGGCAGCTCTGTCCTCCCAAAGCCTCAAAAAGCACGCTCGCTTCCTCCAGCCACCCTGCCCACTGCCCACACATGGGTATACCAGCGGCACTGGGCTGGGACAGAAAAATAAAGACTGGTCCCTCTGCTAGGCTGCAGGCAAGATGAGGCATCGGCTGTGCTGCTTTCAGAAAGGTTCATCATTTAAAGCAGCCTGCTTGCCGCTGTTGTTTCTCGCTGGTGTAGTTTGTGGTCAGTCTGTTCTAGCGCACAGTCCACATCTTCTTCCTTTACCCTTTGTATTACTCCTCTTAGAAATACTGAGAAATGTCTCCTCTCCTTCCACTGTTCACCATCTTCCACACTGATCTGAGCCCTCTCCCTGTTGATGCTAGGGCACCTCCTCGTTTTGCCCGGCATTACCTGGCAAGCACTCTTCGCGGCCTGGGCTGGGAGACCTCACACAAGCAGCAGAAATGTGCTTTTTCCCTCCTTCTCCCTCAGCCGCTTCATGGATGCTCCTCTCCTTGGTGAGCTGTGCCTGCAGTAGCTTCTTAGCCTCACGGAAGGCCATTTCCGCCTGAATATTGTTATTCTGCAGCTCATAAAACAAACCTATGGGAGACAGAAAGAGCAGTGTAAGCAGACATCGGACCCTTGGCAAAATCCTTCCCTTAGCTTTCAGATTAGAGCAGGGAGAAGAGGATCAGGGGAACACCTCAAGCTCGGCTCTACAGAAACACCTCGAGCACATAAGCTGGCTTGCTTTTATACCTGAAAGCGTCCAGGCTACAATGCTGGATGGCTCCAAGCAGCAGGCATCCTCAAAGAAAATCTGTGCCTCTTCGTAGTGCTGCAGCATGACCGCCACAATCCCACAGAGCAGCAAGCTGGGGACAGGGTCGGACGGGTTAGCCTTGTGGGCCCCAGGCAGGGGTGAGGGGGACACCCCTACCCTCCCACCCACCCACCCACCAACCAACCAGGAGCATACAGGAGCACCTTTGGATGTGATTCAGGTCCAGAGACAGAGCCTGCTGGAAACACTCCTGGGCTTTGGTTGTTTCCTCGAGCAGGAGGCAGAATGCCCCATAGTCCAGCCAGTACTGGATGTTGTGCTGGTCCTGAGCTAGCCTCTAGAGAAAAGAGATCGTCGCTGGAGTGCAGACTGCTGCAATCATGCTCCGCACACACAACGGACTGGGAGGCAACTCTGGAATGACCACGGCTTTCCTCTGGCCACCCCAGGCCAGTTTAGGAACAATCAAGCCCTTGTATATCACATGCTAGGGTTTCCATTAACTGGGATTGTGCTGGGCTTACTCTAAGCCTCCTTCAACTAACCTATGTCCTCCAGCTTCATCTGACCTCCGCCTAGCCTCCTGTTAGAGGGCCCAGTGTCCCCAGTGCTGACCCAGCACGCCTTTGGACCAGCTCATCCCATTTCCCGTGGCCTCGAGGCTGAAGTCCTCAGTGACCTGGCCAGTCTCTGTCTCCCGTCCTCCAGAGAGCAGCACCTCCCTAGAAAATCCCTCACACATCAGCGTGAGTATCCTGGTCACGTTTGCCTCCTTCCTCCGTACACAACAGACAGGGCTCGCTGAGCTGTCAGCAACGCGGGCCCCATGCCGCCGTGATGGCGTGCTGGCTGCCAGCCCAGACACACAGGAGACGGGCAGGAAAGAACAGGGGCTCCTTTACCTGCTGGTGGTAGAGAGATGCCAGATCGTAGTCCTTGTTGACTTCAGCTTCGCGAGCAAAGAGCCAGAGCTGCTCTTCAGTCATGCGGGACAGAGGGGCAGGCGGAGCAGCTTCCTCAGACAGTAGCTGGTAGGGAGCGAGACAGAGTGTTAGCCCCAAGGAAGGTAAGAATGGTTCATGCGATCCCAGTACAGCAGCAGTCCCCAGTTCAGCAGTGCGCCGAGTACAGCCTGGTATGCTGGAGCTGGGTGGGCTTGGAAGGCTCCTGTTTGTGGTGGGACACATTCCCGTCATTCCCAGCTACCTCTGGCACACAGGGACAGGGCAATATCCATTATCTGCGGTTGTGGCAAGTGAAAGCATCCCCTAGATCAAGACGATGTCAAACTTCTGTGGTGTCACCGGTGACCCCAGCTCATGCTGGAAGGGCTGTGCTCTGCCTGGGTGAGTGGCAGACGGCACAGAACCAGCCACCCTCACAAGCCAGCTACAGCAGCTTTTACTAGTGGCAGCTCACACATAGCCCACCATCACGGTTTTGTAACAGTGGGATAAAGAGGCACTAGACCCTGCCTCTGAGCGTGGGCTGGGGCTCACATGTGATAACTGCAGGAAACAAAAACACAAGCCTGCTTCTGTCTCAAAGGCACAACTCCCCCTGCCTTCACTGGATGCAGTGTCAAGCCTTGGGTCCACAGTGAAGCTGTATCCCAAGTCATCTGTCCCAGCGGACCGGACACATGTCAGGGTTTCTCTACCTGGTTCAGGGCAACATGCATCTGGTCCACGAGGTACTCATAGAGCTCACTGAGAAATGCCTGGAACTGCTCCTCGCTCTCAAATGCTGTGGTCTTCAGGTATTTCTCCCTCACAATCTTCACTACAGCGTACTGTGGAGACATGTGACTGTTGGACAAAGCAAGCCCTCCCCTGCACCCTCCACCAGCTCCGCAAGGTAATAATACAGAACGCGAACACACTGATTTTGCCTGAAGCTTGGACTTAGTTATGAGGAAGAAATCCAGCCCAGCACTGATCAAAGGAAGAAAAGGAAGCAGCGGTGAATTCCTTTCCCACCTCCCAGCCCTGGCTCTCCCTGACACACCAGTGCCCCTTTTAGGGACAACATGTGGGGAGGCTGGTCCCCTCGGCACAGAGAGGGGGTCTCCAGGTAGAGCGAAGCTGAGGCCAACCAGCTCAGAGAGGGGAACCCCTCTTTCTGCCAGTGCCAACTGCGAGTGTGCAAGAGCAGTCAGCTTTGCCTTCGGCAGGCTATAAGCACGAGGCAAATGGATGTGATCAACTTTGGAGTCTCCCCTCTTTAACAGGAGTGGTTCTCCTGGTGCATGACCAAAGCAGCTTGGTGCCTGTTCTGTTAAGAGAAAAATCCTGTCCCTCCCCATGCCTGCTGCAACAGCCCTGAGTGGCAGGAAGGGGTTATGGAGCAACACATCACCCTAAGTTACCACTACGGAGCAGCAGTTCCTCACCGAGAAACTGCCAGGACAAAACAAGTAGGAAAGTGAAAAGCACAATGGACACTTTACCTTTAGCTGTTCCTTAAAAGCAAAGTATTTCCCAGAGCTGATGAGCTCAAAGTTGAGCTGCTGCTTCTGTTCCTCCAGGGTTTGGTGGTCTATCGCTCCCTGGTCAGGTAGCCGCTTCCCAAAATGCTTGTGGTATTCACTTAGGATGGCAACAGCAGTGCTTGTGACATGGTTGTGATAATCTTCCACGGCCTAGGAAATAAATCAATAATCAAACTTCACAAGCCACTTATGCCATCAACCTTGAAATGTATTTTATTTGCTAGAGTGCACGCCTCCCATAAACTCCACCTGACTCAAGTCTCAATTAGTCTGTCACGCATCCTTTCCCATACACGCCTGAGGGCTGCAAAAATATCTGCATGTAAATACAAAAGAGCTCCTTCATAATTAGATACTGGTCCTGCTATATTTTTCAATCAGAACGCAGTATTTCACTCATTGTTGTCTCTTCTATAGCAGTATAATTGGCTGTAAGTAAAATATATCTCATTTGCTGGGAGCCTTTTAAATCCATGGGCCAGCCCTCTCCAGCAGAGTCTGTAATCTCCGTAATCTCAGTGGCAGAAGCTTCCATGCACTGCGATAATCAAAATGTATCACTCTGTGCACTCCAGACAGTCCAGCACAAATCAATTCTGCAGCAGCACTGGGGTCAGTTATTGAAGTGCTGCTTCTTCCCCCATTGTTGCTTTGAATTTACCATCAGCCGGGGGCCATGCGAGGATGTTGCACACACACAAGTCCTCAAAAATTCTGGGTGACCTGAGAGTGGTCAGGACTGATTCATGTTTGTCTGGGTCTGATGAAGCACATAGGCTAGTCTGAGACAAGAAACTGTTGGGACTGCCCGGGCTAAACGTGGGGTTCTGTTAGCCTCTTTTGCCAGCACCCCATTTCCTTCCAAACACCTACATGCTGCTGCCTTCCCTGCCTTTGCTACATCTCTCCCCTTCTTATGGGCTGTGAACGTGCGTGATACAGCCCAGGAATGATTTCCCAAAGCATACTACTGCAAAGATAACACATCCAAAGGGGTTTTTTTTCCTGTGTATTTCCTCTTCAAACCCCATCTACATGTTGCTGTGGAGCTCAAACAGAGAATGAAGATTCTCCTGTGTGAGAGGGATGAGGGCAGGATGAGGTGGCAGAGTGGTGGCAAGGCTCTTGCACGCACCTTCTTGGCTCCTGCAGTCCGGGGAGGCAGTGGAGGGCGAGGAGGAATCATCTGCTTGACCCTGTCAACAAGAGGATGGAAGAGATCAGCCAGACACACTGCCAGCAACGTTGGTCTTGGGTGGAGACAGCCTGTAGTGTGAGAGCTCCAGCCTGTCATCATATCCCTGAGACACTTCACAGGGACCCAGGGGGGGAAACTGAAGTCTCAGACCAAGAATGAACTGTAAAGACCAGGCACCTACATTCAGTGCTTGTAGCTCATCATAGTGGCTTGAGCTGCTGCCTTACTGCCTGCTGATGATTATACTCCGTAGGAATCAGATAAGGTTTATTCAGTTGTTATTTTCACTGGATTTGACTGACCCATCACACAAAAACTATCGTAAAAGCTCAGCCCAGCAGGTAGGGTTAACATTTGTTATTGCTAGCAATCAAAAACACTCTCCTACAGAAGCAGATCTTCTTATCAAGCTGCTATTCCTTTAACTCACAGCCTCCTGGGTCTGCCAGAACAGCTGTAGGAAAGGTACCATCCTGAGGACAGCTCTGAAGAATTTTATCACTGTAAACCTAGGGCCACCTGATCCTGACATCGCACAGTCCAGCTGTGGCACCTCATGCCTTGGCCACGCATTGAGCCCTAGACACCATACCAACCTATAACTAGGGTTACAAGGATCTTTCAAATATGGATCAAAAGCGCTTAGGATGACCATAATTTTTACTAAGGTGTTATCAAAATCCTTGGTGTCAAACCAGCCTACATTCATGGGAATTTTAATCAAGATATCCTGCTTGCTGATACCAAAACATCTTTGGTCCTCAGAACACAATCCAGCCCACCAAGCAAAGGCATCATATCCTTGTGTTGGCTCCTACAACAAGCAAAGCAAATTGCTTATTCCCTGCCATACATAAACCACTCCTGTAACTGATCTACCACCTTACAGAGCCCCTGACCAGCTGCCTTCTCCAGGTCCCGAGCCCTCGCCACTTCTCCCGCACAAACCCCTCTCACATTCCCTGCTGTGTGCTCTAGTGCCGTGGCCCTGAGCGGTCCCCTTGCTCTGCGGAGACCTGTCACCACTCCTTGGGAAGCCACGAAGCCTGAACAAGTGGGTAGTGCAGCTCCCATGCTCACAGTCCCACCCTCAGAACAGCACCCAGCACTGATGCATTGCCTCCGCCAGCACTACAGATGAAAACCAAACTGCTTCCCTTTCAGATGAGAAAAAACAAACCACCAACAACCTGGGGAAGGAACGTGAGCGAAGAGGGCCAGGCCGAGGCTGACAGAGGATTTTGGATGGAGCCCAAGAAAGAGAGCTGTGGTTTGCTACTAAGATATGTATTTAAACATCCTTCCAGAAAGAGATCCACTGTTGATCTTATCCGCTAGGACACATGAATGTGGCATCTGCTGGAGCCCTCTGAGACAGAGCCCTTCCCACGACTCAGGAGCACTGATTTTTCAGGCCTGACATCTGCAGCTGCACATGGCAGGTAAACAAGGAGGAGTTACGCTGAATTCATGCAAGTTGCATGAGGAGAAGGTCTGTTCTAAGTGGTGTTCACCTTCCTCAACCTGTTCTTCCTAGAGGACAGCAGGCAGCACAGGAGACTACATGCACACTTTCCCTTCAAAGAGAGGCTGCTGCTTATATTTCTGTTTGAGACATACCGCCTGCACTTACACTTCACTCATTTGCTGCATTTTCTCTTTTTTATTCAATAAATTACACATGCTAGACATTTCCTAGACTGTAACCCAGCAGGGCTACCACTCTGGACAGGAAGAAACCGGCTCAAATCAAACAGACAGTGGAAGACTCAAAGCAGCAGAGATTCGAGAGCAGCTCTGCAGCAGGACAACATGAAAACTAATGTAAGAGACACAGAATGGGTAGAAGATTGTAAGAAATCTTCCAAAAAGGAAAAAAAAAAAAAAGACAGAATGCGATGTTGAAGTTACAGCAGCGCTACCCAAGGCAGTTCATACTGGTGGCCAGTCCTGACCAAGCAGCTGAACATCACTTGCAAGAGGCAAGCACACAGAGCTTAATGGGAAACAAAGCCCGGAAGGGAACGCAGACAGTGTTGTGCTGCTCTGGTGTCTTTCTTTTTGAGAGGAATGGCAGGGAGATGCCAGCTCAGATGAACACAAGTGTTTTCCCAACACACCAGATGCCACCTCCTAAGCAGTCTGGCCAAATCCTCCCCCAGATTCCAGTCGGCTTTGGCCCAGGCCCTCAGCTGGTCTGTACAGAGCTCTCCAAGGGGGTGACTCGCTGTACAGCCCTGTTTCTATCCTGCAGAAATGAGCTGTCAGCCCCAGAGGTACAGCACGTCTTTACGCACCGTCTGGTGAGCTCCTCTCTCAGTCGCTTTGGTACCAAGGCCTTGTCCAGCTTTATCTCCATCACCAGGAACGTCCCTGCTTCAGTGTACTGCTGTGAAGATAAACATTGCTGTCTCAATGTTGTGCTGTCTAGAGCCATTACTGGCATGATGAAAGACGGAGCACATAGCTACAGATCTTCAGCAAATCCTCTTCAAACTGCAGAGATACAGCTTGTTTTATAACCTGCCCTCAGAATGATTTACAGCAGTAAAACTCTAACTCCAGAAACCAGTCTAGGAAAAAGGAGAAAGCCCAGATAATCAATCTGCTTGCAGAATGAGTATGCATTTGAGACGTTTTGAGGAAGAACCCAAAATATTAAGGAACCCCTTTAAATAAATGCCTGATTATTTGCAGAGACCTTCTAGCCCAATGCTAGCCTGCCCTCCAGCTGGACGTCACTGGGAAGAACTCCAGGACAGCATCCACGTAAAACATCCCTTGTCCAACTCACTCTTGAAGAATTTAATTGCATGAAAGGTGTGAGACGCCAGTGCAGTGATGGTCTAGCAGTCTTTCCTTCTCTTTGGAGACAGATAATTACCTGTCCATCAAGGCTGAGAGATGTGACACTTTCAGCTTCTACAGTGGCATCTGACAACTGCATTTTGGATGCGTTGGACATCTGTTGAAGAAAAAGACATCTCTGTTTCAGATTCAATAAACCTCACACCTTCACAAGTTCAGGATGCAAGTTGTACATTTGTTCAAGCAGCATGTACTAAAATTTCAAGATAATGAGTATCTCTCAGTCAGCTGAGGCAACGCAGCATCCGTCCCTGGATTCTGCATGCCCCAGCTACCTCCAATGAGGGAATGGAGCAACTGTGTTGCAATATGCCTCTCTAGACTGTACCCTTCTGTTGGAATCCTTATCTTTGGTGGTTTTCTCTTTGTCTTCCTTCTGAATCTTGCTGGGAACAGCTCTGGAAAGGGGAGTACTGATTCCTGGGGTCCACGATCCTTCCTTAGTCAGAGTGAGCTGCGCCCTGAGATCCTGGAAAACACTGTGCTGACTTTTGGTCTGAAAAAAAAGAGAGAACAGAGGGAATCAAGTGACAAACTAGGCTTCCCCACTCCTTTCCTTAACCTCCCACATCGCAGAACACATTGTCAGGGTCCTAAATGCACTAAGAAGGTATGCAACCTTGTCCTCCTCTCCTAGGAGTTTAGCTGACAGTGCTCAAGGCCAGCTCTGATACCGTACAGCTGTGAAGCCTCAGGTCTGACAGTGAAACAAGCTGCCTGAGAAAGCCTCAGCAGGGTCTTGCCATCTTCTCTTGAGAGCTGCATTTTCACTGAGGCACTGGCCCTTGATTCTTGCCCAGGCGACGTAGTAGGCTGGACCCCTTCCCTGTGCTGCCCTGATCCTGACCCACTAGCCTGAAGTCCTGTCTTGATCCTGGACCTGCCTCACGGCTGTGGACTTGCCTGGTGATGTGGATTGTTAGGTGAATCTGGCTACCCTCACCAGGTCTGCTCTCCAATTTCCTGGGTGCCCCCACCTGCCCTGTGGTGACTCTTGGCTTCCGGCTCACCTTCTGGTGTGGAGCAGCTTCCCTGACACACGTCAGTGAATTGCAAGGAACAGGTTTTTCCAATTGTCTGTTTACACACTGTTTGACCACCTGGACAGGCTATTCCCTCCCAGCTGTAACATGAGTTGGGCTAGAAAGAACTAAGAGGATCCTGGGGAGAGGATGGAGCAGCTGTACAGAGACCGCCTAGACCAAGGAGCAGCCCAAAGCATCCACAACCCCAGAAAATACTAACGACAGAGACAGCATGTGTCACTTTAGTTGTGACAGATGAATGCTACAGGACGAGGAGTACCATGCAGCCAAGAAGCCATGAAACACGGCAGCGAAGCAGAGACCAGCAAACAGCTGTGTGCCTCGCCCCGCTTTGCAACAGCCAGTGGGAGCATGGAGGCAGGGAGAAGGGCTGTAATTCACCCAGCTCCTGTGGCCTGGACAGCAGCACTACGGGGGACCTGGGCAGAAAAAGCAGGCTGTGCAGCTGCCCTCCTGAAACAAGCTCAGGTCTGTTCCAGGAGTAATGTGGGAAAATGGAGACGTAACTGTCACTCTTAGTAACAGAGGGGGGAGAAATGCAAAGACAAATAAACCTCCATGAGCTACAGCTGAAAAAGCTCCAGTGACAGCTTTTTTGGTTGTTGCCTGGGGTAACGCTATGCTTTTAGAGCCACTGTTTGCTCTTCCCAGCAATGCAGTTCAATTGCCCGTGTTCCAGACTGGAAAAGAGAGAGGAGAGAGGAGCATTCTTACAGCTCTCCCTGCTCAGCTGCTGGCAGAGAAGGGAGCAGAGTGAGATTCAGAGCCCCTCTCAGCCCCCAGACCTGCTCAGACACACCCAGAAATCCCCTGCCTTTGAGAAGTCTGCACGTAAAAACTTGTCATGTTATATTTCTCCATCACCAGAAGGGCAGTGAAGTTTCAGAGCCAGCTTCCGAGTACCATACTGCCCATGCTGTCTGCTCCCAACCCCACTCTGCGCAAACACAACTGCAGAGCTGGAGCGGAGCCTGGCTGTCTGGCCTGCTCTCACCTTCTCGAACACCTTGCTGTCTTGGTAGGGAAACACAAC